GAATTACAGCTGAACAATCAAAAAAGATTTTAATAATGCCGCCTAACGAATTACTGACGCACAAGATAATTTTGGCGCAAAAAACGCAATTATTCTGCTCACAAAAATTCCTTAGATTAACTAAGCACAGTTTTCCTTGGCACAATCGAATATTCAGTCATTCAGCCAGTTAGCCAGCCAGTCAGTCAGTCAATCAGTCAGCCAGTTAGTCAGTCAGTTCAGTCAGTTGATGCCGGCACTTCCATCAAAACCACCACTGGGGGGATGCAGAAGCACATCGGCAGGCAGTAAACGAAGCCGTAAACTTTTGCAGAACCAACTAAAAAACATTTACATCACTTACAGCACCAGGAGTCCAACTCACTCAACCCACAAACTAAGTCTAGCAATTCCGACGCTAATCATATAACGGTTGTTGGCTATATGGTCACAACTGTCGCAATTCTATAAGTGGCTGATTCTACTGTCTTCAACTAATCGTCAAGCAGACTCATAATCAACAAAGCATTAACTAATTTCGCAAGTCTTCTTGAAAATAGGAAATACTGTTGTTTTCTCTTCCATTATTATATTACTTCACTTAAGCACCTGACAAAAGAAAGATTAAGTTGAAACAAACAAAAAAAAGTTGCATTAAAAAAACAATAAGTTTATTTTACTTCACCAACAAACACTAAAAGGTGCAGCACTCCTCAAAAACAAAAAAAAAACTGAAGAGTTAACTTCATTATACACAGAAACAAAAATAACAAACAGGCGAGAAAAAAAAAATTAGGTTAAAAAAGTGAACTAAGATCCCGATCAAAACTTGCGTACTTCAACATAAAGGATAAAGAAGGAAATGTAAAAAAAATAGTATTAAATTCCCTTTTCCCTTATCTTTTAAAATTTTCAAATAAAACAGCCTTATAGAAGCCATCATGTTCACCGCGACCTTCGTAGTGATAATTCTGTTAAGTATTTAATCAGTGAAACTAAAAGAAAGAAAAAAACACTACGTCTGGTAGAGTAATAAAACGCTTTCCAAGTTAAAAAAAATTAAATGCTTTGTTGGCAAAAAAAAAAAAAAAAAAAAAAAAAAAAAAAA